GACTGAACTTGAGGGTCGTCTAGGGGACGCCTCTCTTCTGGAGTCGGTACAGACTTGGATGCCATCTCTGAAGTACTCTCCCCACAGACGGCGCCAAATGTTTCGGGGTTTTCTGATGTCCTGCGGGAGAGTTACAATTCTGAGACTGGAACCGGACGCCTGTACCTGCAAAATAACGGAGACTCCTGAGAGCTCCGCCTCCAACGGTCAAGTTAGTATCTGATTAAGGAGTAATTAATACGGAAATTAAAGTAATAAGATCTCTCTAGGTGAGAGTGGTTAATGTTGGTAATCTGCGTCGTTAGCGAGATTAGCCGGTTATTAGCGTTCCGTAATGTTTCTGTTCTTCTCTGCTTGATTTCTATTCTCCTTAATTAATGAGGATTAATTAAGTATTTATAGCCTTGAGAAGCGTGCCACTCTGTAGGTTTAAGGTAAACCTAGGGCTGACCGGGCCTCTAGACTGGATTGGGCCTTGATGGCCGGTTTTCCCATTTGGCATGGGTGGACACGTGGCGTGCCTCGATTGGTCCGTAGAGGACGTATCTGTGATTGACACGTGGCAGGCTCCTATTGGCCTTCGTGAAGGACACGTGGCGGAACCTGGTTGGTCCACTTGTCAGACGGTGATTGGTGGATAAAAATCCCCTAATCAGTAGTCACGCATCAATCAAGTGAAAAAATGGGAAATAACCTTCAAGTAATATAAATTAGGAAAATTTGGTTTGAATAATTCAATATTTGCGCGATCTTATTTTATTACTCCGACCTTTCGATTATTCCACAATAATCTAAAATTTAGGGGGTGTTCTATTTTATTAGGCTAAACGGGTCACTTAACCTAAAACATAGTTCACGTGCCATGTGTCACGTTTTCATTTGTCCAAAAACTATTTTTCAATTTTTTTTTAAAAAAATACTGTTAAATATGGAAGAGAAATAAAGAGAGATATGAGAGAAATTTTGTTACGTTCTATCTCAAATTTCATCTAATACGGGATATATATATATATATGTATATTATCTAGGGTTCCATCATCGGATAAAATCAAATACCCAACTCTAGAATGTTCTAGATAATACATGGGATAATAATCATCCACATTTAGATATTTTATAATACTCCCCCTTGGATGACTATAAAACGATAACTAAAATTTACTAGAAAAACCCGTACAAAATAATTTATAATGTCCATAAGATGCTGCCTCGTTAAAAACCTTACCAGGAAAACCTAGTGGAAAAACCCTGGTTAAGGAAAAAAGAGTGCAGCGCGCATTAACTCCCCCTCATGATTACATCACTTGAGATCTTTAACACAACGCAATCCAATGTCGTAAGCTAACTTTTAGAATGTGGCAGTTGGGAGCGCCTTAGTAAACAAATCTGCCAAGTTTTCACTCGAACGAATCTTAAGGACTTTTATATCACCATTCTTCTGTAGATCATGAGTGTAGAAGAATTTTGGTAAAATGTGCTTTGTTCGATCACCTTTGATATACCCTTCCTTAAGATGGGGCGATGCATGCTGCATTATCCTCATATAAAGTTGTCGGAACTTCTTTCTCGGAGTTTATGCCACAATCTGTCTGTATATGTTGAATTACAAACCTTAACCATACACAGTCACGACTAGCCTCATGGATTGCCAAAATTTCTGCATGGTTAGAAGAAGTAGCTGCAATTGTTTGTTTCATAGAACGCCAAGAAATAGAAGTATCTCCACACATAAACACATATCCAGTTTGTGATCTAGCATTATGAGGATCAGACATATACCCTGCATCTGCAAAACCAATCAAACCCTATTTGGATAGGTTAGAGAAAAACAAACCCATATCTTTCGTACATTGAAGGTAACGAAGTACATGCTTAACCCCATTTCAATGCCTTTGGGTGGGACATGAGCTAAATTTTGCTAACAAATTTATTGAAAATGATATGTCGGGTCGTGTATGACTAGCAAGATACATTAATGCCCCAATTGCACTTTAATATGGTACTTCAGGACCAAGAATTTCTTCGTCATTCTCCCGAGGTCGAAAGGGATCTTTTTCTACATCAAGTGCTCTAACAACTATGTATGTTAGAAAATCCATAGAAAATCTTTTAAGAACCTTTTCTATGTATGTTGACCGGTGCACAAGGATTCCATTCTTTAGGTGTTCAATTTGTAACCCTAAGCAAAATTTAGTTTTTCCAAGATCTCTCATTTCAAATTCTTTCTTTAAGCTCTCCATTGTTATTGAAATCTCTTCGGGAGTTCCAATAATATTTAAATCATCAACATATACTGCAATTATGGCATATCCTGATACAAATCTCTTCATAAAAATGCATGGGCATATAGGGTCATTCTTATACCCTTCTTTCAACAAGTACTCACTTAGTCGATTATACCACATGCGCCCTGATTGTTTCAATCCATATAGAGATCTATTCAATTTTATTGAGTACTGTTCTCGAGAACTTCCATTTGCTGCTTCTGGCAGTTTAAATCCTTCTGGGAGTTTCATGTATATGTCATTATCCAGTGGGCCATATAGGTAAGCTGTGACTACATCCATCAACCGTAAATCAAATCCTTCTCTTATTGCCAGACTGATTAGAAATTTAAAAGTAGTTGCATCCACCACAAGAGAGTATGTCTCCTCATAATCAATACCGGGTCTTTGTGAGAATCCTTGTGCAACTAATCGGGCCTTGTATCTTAAAATATTACCATTTTCATTTCTTTTTCGTACAAAGACCCATTTATATCCCACTGGTATTCCACCTTCAGGTGTACGAACTACATGTTCGAATACTACTCCTTTTTCGAGAGATTTCAATTCAGTTTCAATTGCTTCTTTCCATTTTGGCCAATCACTTCTCTGTCTACATTCATTAATGGATTTTGGCTCATGATCCTCATCATCATTCATGACATCTAATGCTACATTGCATGCAAAAACATCATCGACGCCGATTTGGTTTCAGTTCCATGTAATTCCAGATATGATAGAATTCGTTGAAATTTCTTCATTATTAGGTACCTGAATATCTTTTTCCATCATGTCTAAGGTCTTTTCTGGAGATCCTTCAAAATTTATAGCTTCCTCGGTCTGGCCATTGTCAATAGTTACTTCTTTTCTCTTCCGAGGGTTGTTTTTATCTTTGGAACCGATAGGTCTACCACGCTTCAAGCGTGCTTTAGAATCATTTGCAACTTGGGATTGTCCTTCTGGGACATCAATTTTAATCGGAGCATTTTCAGCTGGTATATGTGACTTTGTCACTTTCTTTGGGTCAGTAAATGAGTCTAGCAATTGATTTGCTAAGTTTTGTAAATGAATTATCTTTTGGACTTCCAATTCACATTGTTTAGTACGAGGATCTAGATGAGATAATGATAATTCATTCCAACTAATTTCCTTTTGCAGCTGTTTATTTTCTCCCCCTAATGTTGGAAAAACTGATTCATCAAAACAACAATCTGCAAAACGAGCCGTAAATAAATCTCCTGTCGTTGGCTCTAGGTACTTAATTATCGATGGAGATTCATATCCAACATATATCCCTAGCCTTCTTTGAATGCCCATTTTAGTGTGTTGTGGTGGAGCAATTGGAATATATACCGCACATCCAAATATTCTCAAATGGGATACATTTGGTTCCTGACCAAAAACCAATTGTGATGGGGAGAACTTATGATGACTTGTCGGCTTGATGCGAATTAGTGCTGCTGCATGTAATATAGCATGCCCCCAAGCAGAAATTGGGAGCTTAGATTTCATAAGTAATGGTCTAGCAATCAATTGTAAACGCTTAATTCACGATTCCGCAAGACCATTTTGTGTGTGAACATGTGCTACAGGATGTTCAACACTAATCCAATTGACATGCAATATTCATCAAAGGCTTGGGATGTGAATTCACCAGCGTTATCAAGACGAATATTTTTAATAGGAAAGTCTGGAAAATGTGCTCGTAGTTTGATCAACTGAGCAAGTAGTCTCGCAAACGCAAGTTTGCGAGTTGATAACAATGATACGTGTGACCATCTAGTTGATGCATCTATTAAAACCATGAAATATCTAAATGGCCCACACGAGGGATGAACTGGTCCACATATATCCCCTTGTATACGTTCTAAAAGTAATTGATTCAGAATTTATTTTAGCTGGTGATGGCCAGAGTATTAACTTGCCTATTAAGCAAGCAACACATAAAAAATTATTATGAAGAATCTGTTGGCTCGTCAATGAGTGTCCACATGAATTTTCGATTATTTTTCGCATCATTATTGAACCGGGATAGCCTAACCGGTCATGCCAAAACTTTGAAGTCATCAGTAAACTTCTGGTTTACTATAACATGGGATTCAATTGTATTGATTTTAGTATAGTACAAGCCAGTGGAGAATGTAGGTAATTTCTCCATAATAAGTTTATTGCCTTGAGTTATACTCGTGATTTGAAGGAATTCATTATTTCCTTCACTAATTGTCTCAATGTGATATCCATTTTGTCAAATATCTTTAAAACTTAGTAAATTTCTTTGAGACTTATGGGGAGTACAATGCATCAATAATTTCCAATTTTGATCCCCTTGGAAATAATACATTTGCTCTTCAGGAGCCTTCTATAATTTTTGTACTGCTTGATATAGTACTCACACTAATTTCTTTCATCACCAATTGTGAAAAATATTTCTTATCTTTAAGTATGGTGTGAGTGGTAGCACTATCAATTAGACATAAGTCTTCACCATTGGTCGATATTGAGCTCCAAAGGGATTCATATTCTAATAGAATTAAAGGAACTAAAATAAGATTCACCAAACCAAATAAATGACTGATAATAATGAAATATGCAAAACATAAAAATTTCCAAAAACATAAAATTGTCCAAAAACAAATTAAATGTTCCATAAAGCATAAAGTCATAGTACTACGATAAAATTCTATAATAAATGCAAGCTAATTAATAGAGTTTATTCGCCAATGGGACGTTATTTATTCAATTATTTTCTTCAGGATTAGGAAAGAAATCAGCCGCTTCGAAGTGAGTTGTATTACCATAATCAAAATCACCTTCGCCATTCTCGTACACCAAATTTGTTTCCATTTTCTTTCCTTTTTGTTTGATTGATTGTTGATAAAGGTCTACTAGATGTTTTTGTGTACGACACACACGAGACCAATGGCCTTTTCCTCCACAACGGTAGCATATATTTTCATATTTATCCTTCTCCTTCTTATTTCCATCTTTATTGTCCCACTTCTGGTGAGAGTATGAGTTCCTAAAATGACCACCTCGACTACGATCATGTCCACGTCCGCGACCACGACTGCTGGCGTGATCTCTAGCCTTTTTCTCTTTCCCACTATGGGATGTCGCATTCGCTTTAGGGAATGGAGTAGAGCCAGTTGGGCGTGATTCATGATTTTTCATTAATAGTTTATTATTTTGCTCAGCCACAAGGAGACAAGATATCAAATCAGAATATTTTGTAAAACCCTTTTCACGGTATGGTGTCTGAAGGACAACATTGTTTGCATGAAAAGTAGAGTATGTTTTTCCTAACATTTCTGCATCCGTGATTTTCTCTCGACATAATTTCAATTGTGATGTAATTCTAAACATGGCTGAGTTGTATTCACTCATAGACTTAAAGTCTTGTAATCTTAAATGTAACCAGTCATAACGAGCTTTTGGTAATATCACAGTTTTCTGGTGGTCATACCTTTCCTTTAGATTACTCCAAAGGACTTGTGGGTCTTTAACAGTCAAGTACTCAGTCATAAGACTTTCATGAAGGTGATGGCGAAGGAATATCATAGCTTTAGCCTTATCTTGGCTTGTTGCAGTGTTGTTTTCTTTAATAGTATCACCAAGTCCCTTTGCATCTAAATGTATTTCAGCATCTAACACCCAAGACAGATGTTGTTTCCATTAATATCAAGAGCAACAAATTCGAGTTTTGCAAGGTTTGACATGATTCACTGATATATAAAACAATATTATAAATTAGAAACTAATAACATATATATAAATATTAGCAGTCCATATTATTAATAACAAAAAGAGAAAGAATCAAGCAACACTAGTTGCTGCCTTGCTCGGTGCTGTCAGTCTATACTCACTACTAAAGCACCTCTTCTGTCTCTCTCCCCTTCTCACTTCTCTTTTCTCTCTCTTCCTCAAAAAATCATACCCATTTCATAAAGATCAAACATTTCAAACTTAATTATTCCATTTTCCATTTAAATTTTTTCATTGATTGATCAGTGATGCTGCACAAGAAAGATTAACAATTTTTGGTCCCAATAAACTCGAGGAGAAAAAGGAGAGCAAATTCTTGAAGTTTTTGGGGTTTATGGGGAACCCTTTATCATGGGTTATGGAAGCTGCAGCTATTATGGCAATTGCTCTTGCTAATGGAGGGGTGAGAAATTCTTAATTTGCTTAGTGTACTGCTTAGGAAAATTTATTGTTTTTCGAAATCGTGATTTGTACCTTCTAAATTGATCAGTAGAAGTATAGATAGTTGCTTTGAAAATTGTGTCGTAATACCCATGCACATGGTAGAAGGTGGGTAAAGGTTGAATACTGATTCTTGTATTGGGATTTTAGGACTATTTCGAGAGTGTTACAGATTGATCATATTAACTTGTATCTACATTCAATATAGTAATGTCCAAGAAATTTTAATATCTTTTATTTCACACAATGAGCCATACTAAAGCTCTAAAGTCCCAGAGTAAATTAGCTTTAAAAAGTTATGATCAATTATTACTCAATGCTTATAAATTAACTAGAATAGATATAAAACCACTTCAGCAAATGCAATTAACCACTAATCTTGCAAAATCCAGTTGCTCAAATCCACAAATTCACATGATATCTAAGTTTCCCTAATCAATTACAGAAAAACTACTAATTTCAAGGATTTGGTCAAGCACCCAGAAACTAAGATCTTGATTTCTAGCTACTAAAGTATCTAATTCGACTTAATAAATCAATATGAACTCAATACATCATAATTTATTATCAAGAATCCAAGATATAAATCTGCAAACAAATTAACAAAACTAATAGTATGTAAAATATAAGAAATTAAGAGGTAAGAAAATTCAGTAATTCACCTATAAAGTCACGAAATATGGATGAGTGGATGACGGAGCAGTGGAGCACCGAGCACGGGAGGCCGAAGGCGACGCCTGTGGGACAGCTAGCAGCGAGAACAGGGGCCGGAGCGGTGAACGGCGGCGGTGGCAGCTTACGGGATGATAGATGATTGCAGTGATTTTATTATCTTTGTTACTTTTTCTTTTTTTTGATGTGTTTCCCTTGTGATTTGTCTTTGATTTTCGATGATAATAATATTTTTGTAGCAATGGTGCTGATAACGTGTTAAATATGGAAGAGAAATAAAGAGAGATATGAGAGAAATTTTGTTACGTTCTATCTCTTATTCCATCTAATACGGGATATATATACATGTATATTATCTAGGGTTCCATCATCGGATAAAATCAAATACCTAACTCTAGAATGTTCTAGATAATACATGGGATAATAGTCATCCACATTTAGATATTTTAGAACAAATATCTATTTTTTTCCTTTCATCTTCTTCTTCTCTTTCCACCTCCATGAATGCACCACCATACCTCGCACCATTTCCGGCCAGACCACCTCCGACAGCCCCTGAACCCCCTATTTCCACCACCGGAATTCCCTTTCCTCCTTCCTTTCTCTTTCCTCTTCCCTTTCACCACCATAACTTCCAGCACCCTTGACCTTCGAAAGGCAGCCTCCTTCTTCCTCCCCTTCCGAGCACTGCCTTTTTCCAACCACCCCTTCCCACTTTTTCCGACCACCCTCCCCTGAAACCTCACAACCCCGTCGAAACCCCACCCTCCCTCCCCCCCGAAATTCCCTCGAAATTATTATGAGAAAGTAATTTGGGATTGTTACAAAATGGTAGCGCCTATTGTGCTCCTACATCGGGAGTTCAGTAGAACAAAACTTTTCTTGTCTGGAGGTTATTACTCACCTCAACCTAATAAAAGTCTATTGGGTAGGAATTCTACCTTACACCAAAGCAAATTCTTAAAGGTATGGGCTCAAAAAGGAAAATATTTACTAGTGGGCTCATATTAACCTGAGGTGTTATAGATGATATTAAAGCCAAAATCTATTTTGATATCCTATTGTCTCTTTAGGACGCACGCTCTATAAAGGAGGAGAGAATGTGCTTATGTCGCTCCAACATCAGAAGTTAAGGAGAAAAAAAATTATATGAGGGTCAATACTTTAGCCTAGTAGAGATCTTTTTTTTTTTTTTTTCATATATATAACTCTTGGAATTAATTTTTTTTTTCTTTGCCACTAGATCAAATGTATTGCATCTCCCTAGCAGCATAGTAAATTTATGTCCTCCTTTTATCTAATGATAGAGTTATTTAAAATGTTCTTTGGATTCCATCCATTGACCTCGAAAATAAATATCCCACCTAGATTCCACTAGGACTTTAATTTTTTTGCAATGAAAAAAGGGGCAGGTTTTCAATATTTGGATCCTGTTTATAAATTTACTTTTTATTTTATAGTATTGTTTCACATTGTTTCTTAGATTATTTTTTATTAAGTCTAAAACCGGGCTTAATTTCAGAGCGAGCATGCTTGGTTTATTACTTGGTATAGTCTATATACAAAGCATATTATTGAATTTGATTGTATAATGCACATACAAATCCTTATATGTCTATTAATTGACATGATCAATGTACAAAGCATGCCCTATGTAATTTGTCTACTAATTAATTGGCTAACATGCAATGTAAATACCGGACGAAGTTTCTACAACACGTACCATTCGCGAAGCCCGATTTACAAGAATCACACATAAATTAACAACAAAAACCGGAATTTCAGGATTATTATGATTTTTTTTTTTTTTTTTTTATCAAATTTTAGTTTGGAAGATATGAAATTTCATGATTGCCAAAAAAATAATCAACGATTATTACTCATGAGGCTTGTAAGCCTATTGAAATTTTAGAGTTGCCAAGAACAATATGATTATTTTTGGGGCCTCCTACTATGGATTTCCAATGTAATCCTATTGCATTATCACCTATATATAAGCCTTTATTTTAGACCCTACTACTATAGACCAAGATAAATGTACTTATTACACTCATTATCTAATAAGGTGCTTAGCAAAATTAAATACTAATATGTACGATAAATATATGCCTTATAAGTTTTTGGTAATAAAAAAACAAATGTAAACTTCAACTCGGTTATACAAATTCGAATACTAAAACTAGTTTATATTAAACACTACACTAACCAAATACAATGGCAAGCAAGATTTCACACCAAGGTTGGTTGTCATTGCTAAAGACCTTCACGTATAAAGCTAATTCGAAGATAAGAGATATGATTGTTTTAAGGTTTAACAATAAAGTTTCCATATATTTAAGTTTTAAGTCAAAATAAAATATAAAAGCACTAGGGAATGAGGATCCACTTGATGACCTAGAAAATCAAGCAAATTGGGAACAAGGTAGGTAATGGCCAGAAAAGATTACATACAAAAACAGCGAGCTAAATGAATTTAAGAGCAAATCTCAAAATTCTAAACTTAGATTCCTCATTAAAGTTAATCAAAACGGCAATAATTGCAATTATGACTATCCAAATTCACATTCCCATGTCAAACAAAGATCATCATGTAATCATGTTCATAATCAAGTGTAGTTAATCCAACATGCAAGCTTCATATAATCGGTTTGATCACCAACAATCACCAAAAGTACTTCTTCCAATTATACTTGAATTACCATTTGAAAATGAGCTTCACCCACATCCAAACTTCATATAACCACTTTTATCACCAACACAATCACCAAAATTTCTCCAATCCCAATTAAAATTAAACTACCATTTGGTTGAGCTTTACTTCACCCAACCTCCTGCCTAAGTTGACTACTTAATATCCATTAGGAGTGTTAAAAAACCTGACTCGATTGACCTGAACCAGATCAAATTAGTTGGGTAATTTTTAAGAAAATCTAAACTTTCGGATCGGGTACTCGACCCAGTAAAGAAGAAAGGTTCTCGGATCGGTTCATGGGTCGGTCAAAATTTCAGTCGGGTACCTGAAGACCTGCTACTTTTAAACAATAAATAGGGTTTTCCTTCTAATGTTACACTTTAGTAATAGCAGCCGTTAGGGGTGTTCAAAAATTGGTCCACATCGAAAAAAATGGATCAGACCAGTCCAGATCGACCCTAGACCAAATTAATCAGTCCAGTCTCCGGATCGATAAATTTATTTTTCCGGTCTTCGGTCCGGTCCAAAACCCTATAAAAATCGGTCTTAGACCGGACCGTTTTTTGCTTAAAATTATACATAAAACCTTTAATAATGATTAAGATTATACTTAACAAGCTTTAAAAACTTTAGTTGTATGAGCTTTTTTGTACTAAACATACAAAAAAAAGATGTTAAAGTATTGTTCTTCCTTTATTTTTTTCGAGTTTTCCATAAATTATTTAAAATTTAGGAAATTTTTTGATTAAAATTCTAAACTGGTCCAAACCGATCCGGTCCAGGTTTTGGACCGATATTTTTGGTGTGGTCCGGGTTTGATCCTAGCTTAATCGGTCCGGTTTTCGATTCTTGAAATTCAGTTTTTCGATTTTCGATCCGGTTCGGATTGGTCTGGTCTAGTCCGATCTTGGACCGATAAACAACCCTAGCAGCCGCACTACATTAACACTTCTCATACTCTCTCTCTTAATTCCATCTCCCTTTTCACATAAAGTTCTTATCTCTCTCCTCTAAATTGGTAAGATTTTGCTTCTCACAATTTAAGTATACTCTTTATTTTTCTTTGTTAATTTTAAAGGTTTTCCCCTTATTATTTTTTCTTTTTAGCGAGTATTTTTTTTTTTTTTTTTTGAAAATTGTGATTTTAATCCATCAAAGTTAGCTTTGATGAGGTTAAGGTGTGATTGATTTTACAAACAATTATGTGGACAATGTTGTGATGAGTGGTTTGTTTATCTTACAAGGAAAAATATATGGTCACTTGTCCAAGAAATAAGCAAGAATGAAGTAGATCTGCTGCTACTCCACTAGAACTCTAGTACTACTATCTTTATTATACTATCTCTATTATAGGTCTCATACATGGAGTACCAATTAACGAAGATTTGTAATTAAATCTATATTTGTTTTGATTTT